CTGTGTAATGGGAAGAGGTTGCCAAAAAAAGACTATACCCCAGTTTCACCTTTTTCCCCTCTTGGAGGCCAAGGTCGAATCAGAGAGGCATCTAGAAAGTCCTAACCGGCCCTTTCCTCTGAGAGACAACCTCCCCCTTCCACGCAGAAGTGTGAGGCCCGGTGCAGGGAAGGGCCAGGGATTCTCGCCCAGAACCAGGACAGGGCTGTAAACAGGAGTGGAGCTGCCATCTGAAGTGAGGTGCCGACATGTGCCTATGATGCTCTGCTCTGGGGGCTGAGGCAGGAGGAGCCATGTTTAGGGTCAGCTGGGCTGCACAGTGAGACGCTGTCTCAGGGACAAACAGGACTGCAGGTGATGTTTGCCTAACGTGCACGAAGCCCTGCGCTTGATCTCAGCACCTGGCAAACAGGGTCTGGTGGTATACACCTGCAATCCCAGCACTCGGCTACATGGCCAAGTCTAGTCAGGACCGCATAAGACCGCCTCACAGAACCATCCCCACCAACAGAAAGAAAGCGGTGACTGAGCCTCCATCCACGAGAACAGACACCAGGGAGCATCTAGTTCACGTCTGGAAAATATAGGCAGGAACTAAAAGGAGAGACGGAGCTGGCCCCGATTCTGTCATCACCTGAATGTGTCTTGTGCTGGCGATCCCTGGCCTACTGAAAAGGAAAGAGGTTTCCGAGCGCTCACCCGCAACACCCAATTACCCACAGTTGCTGTAAACAAGGGAGCACTTACCTCCAAGTTGCTTCAAATACTCAATTTCCTATGGTTTCATGCATATAATCCACTTTAAAATATTTTAGCACACTCTCACTCACTAACCTCTTAAGATTTTACGAGTATCTCCTTTAGCATACTCTATATGGACTGTTTCTTTAGACAACGCCTGACTGCAGACACAAGCCCCCACCTTGTATCTGAGTTGCTGGGCATCAGGGCTTTCCACGTGCTAGGCGGGCACCACGTGGCCAAATGCGCCTCAAACCTAGCCAACTTTCACTGTTGTTTCCTGAGACAGGGTGTAATTCTATGGCCCAGAACTCCTGTACTCCAGACCGGCTCTGAACTCAGCTCCCAAGTCTGGGATTTAAGTTAGGACTCACTGTGTACAGCCCATATGAAATTTTTTCCCATATGAATGTTTAACATTCCGAATTTTGCCAGCATGATGGTACAAGCCTTTACTTCTAGCACTCAGGATGTAGAGGCAGGGGGATCTCTGAGTTTGAGGTCAGCTGGCCTACGTACTGAATTCCTAGTCTGCCAGAGCTCCAGAGAGACCGTGTTCCACAAATGAAGTTCTCTGTCTCCATTCTGCTAGTTTGTGTGATCCTGGCAAATGTGCTTCTCCACGTCTCAGCACAGCACGAGGCACGGTCTTTGTGCTTGGTTCCTAGCACAGTGTCTCTAAATCTCACAAACTTCTGATGGAGCGTATGTTACTCAGGGGCCATCAACTATACCAGAATTAGGGTCACTGCGCCAGCTCACAGTGGACCTTACACAGGCTAAACAAGGGACTGGAGAATAAGCAAACAAAACAGAACAACAACAACAAACAACCAAATAAACAAAAACAAAACACCACTAAGCATGCTTTGGAGTTACACACTGCTCCTGTGAAGACGGAGTGTGGACCCGATTGAGTTCAGTCAAGGCCAGTGGCTTAACCGATCCCTATCATGCCCCACATGAAAACCCTGAGTAGGGGGCTCAGGGGCTAGCTTGGCTGGGTAGTAAAATTCTTGCTGTGCACGCATGAGGCGCTGACAGTCCTTAGAACCCATGATACGTGTCTGTAATCCCAGTGCCCGGCCAGCTTAGGCTAGTTCCGGAGCAGTGAAAGACTGTCTCAAAAACCCAGGCGAACGGCTCAGAAGGACACCTTCCTGAGCTTCCCCTCTGGCCTTACACAGATGCACATCCGTGTGCACAGGAGAGGGCTGGGGAGGGTGAGAAGAGCCTGAAACAGTGACACGCAGCTTGGTATTGATGGAAAAATGGCTGTGCTCAGGCATGAGGGTGCACGCCTTTAATCCCAGCCCTCGGGAGAGGCACAGGTGGATCTCTGAGTTCAAGGCCAGCCTGGTCTACAGAGTGAGTTCCAGGAGAGCCAAAGCTACATAGAGAAACCCTGTCTCCAAACAAAACCAAACCAAATGGCTGCACTAAGAGGGTGGTGACCTCAGAGGAGCAGAGTCTCCATACCAAATCCAAGTCCACACCCGTCAAGGAGTCTCTTCTAGTTGGTTGTTTCTGCTTTGCACCTTTTATTTAAAAATTAGACTCTTAAGTATAAACACCTCTGGGTTTAGTCATTTTAGCAAATTATCAATCACACTTGAAAGGGGTAAGTAAGAGTTTGCAGACGGCAAGTAGGAATATGTACAACCTAGCCACATGAAGGGGACAGTCTTGTGTGTGCACTAACTGGGGATTTAGTGCCAGAGCTGACTTCATGAGCAGGCCGTTTGGTTAGCATCAGTAACTGTTGCTGGAAAACGCTTCGCTTTCTCATCCATAAAATGAGGACAACAGTAAGACTTTCTTCGCGGGGTTACTGTAAGGACTAACGAGTCAGGAACAAGAACGGCCCTTGGCGTACAGCTCTCTTGATTTGTGCCAATGGTTGCTGTCTTCTAGCAGGTTTTTCAGAAGTCCTGGAAAACCATCTTCTCTAAGGACTGCCCTCTGCTGGAAAGCACAGAGGGAAGGAAAGCGGACCTGGCCCTGCAGAGATGGCAGGGACATACTGACAAGCATTTCCTCTGCAGGGAGGGTGGAGGTAAGGCTTTTCTGCCAGCACGGGGCTTGGAGGCAGTGAGCCCAGAGCGAGGTCACTGTAGTCGTTCATTTCCGAGCGTGCAGAATGCAGCTGCAGAAATGCGGCAGGCAAACAGCAGTACCCCAGGAAAAGTCTGGCTATCAACACTGAGCTCCCTGGCAAAAGCAGAGCAGCAGGAGAGCCTTCTCCTGAAGGGAGATGTGGTAGTAAGCACGCCTCTACCCCAGAGGGGAGACCGACTTATCACTGGGCAGTCGTCTCGCTTATGTGCACAGACTCTGTCTCGCCACCCTTCCTAGAACGCTGGCTTCTCCCTGACACACCGTCAGCACCTAAGGACTTCCTTGTCACCTCCTCAAAATATTTGCTCAAGAACACTGTCTCCCTCCCTCTGCTTTGTGCTGCCAAGACTTCCCCTCCTCCCTCACCACCACAGAGACCTCTGAAACCAGGAACCCAAATAAATCTTCCCTTCAGGGAAAAGAAGACCAATGTCTCTCTTGGGGAGGTGCAGGTACTTCTAAAAGGAAATTCCTCGCAAGGGAGCCTTGCCTGTGCAAAGGTGTGACTTTGGGGGTGCCGGCCCTGTACTTTTAGGTTTTAGAAAGCTGGAGCTGAGGGTGAACCGTGGTTTGTAGGACTCCCTCTCAGTGATAGCGATGACAGTTCTAAGCCCCGAGCAATTAATTGTGTGAACTGTGCTAAATGCTGTATGTTCAATTATCTCAACTCTCTGAGTTATACAGTGTTAAGCCCCTTTTACAAACAAAACTGGAGCTTAGGTTAGTTAATTTGCCCAAAGCCACACGGATGATAATGAAGGTGCTGGAAAAAACAAAGAAACAAAACCGAACAAAGCAGACAGAGATGTGGGGTTGTTAGACACACACACACACACACACACACACACACACACACACACACACACGGCCAGGTGTCTGATCTCAGCAAAGCTGGTTTCATCTAATTCACTCTCTATAAACGCCCTGCCCAGTGTCCCCACACCCAGGCTGGGGATCAAGTTTGTCATCTCGGGAAGGTGAGGCAAGCAGGCCACCACTGAGCCCCAGCCCCAGCCTGGTGTCTGTTACACAGTCAAATGAATGGGTTGTGTTCACCGTGGCGGCACGCGCTGTAATCCCAACACTTGGGAAATGGAAGAGGAGGAGGAGTTCAAGGCTCTCCTCAGCCACGCTGTGAGTTCAAGGCCAGCCAGGGCAAACGAAAGCTTGTTGTCAATGGACCGTCTCAAATGACTAAAGAAGGAGTCAAATAAAGTAACGGCTAAACCAGAAGGCCCCCACGCCCCTTCCAGGACGCCGTTCGGCTCTGGGTGAGGAGACGGATAAGGGTGCGGGGTGGGGGGGGGGGGGGAGCGCTGTCCCTTCGCTGTCCTAGTTACATTTTTTTCAAAGAAGAGGAGGAAGAAGCCGAGCAGCCACCCTCTCGCTGCATCCTGGGACAGCTGCACTCGGTGCCGCGCCGGCCCCAGCGTGGACCGCCGCTCGGGTGAGGTGCGCGCGGAAGGCGCTCCCTAAGCCCGGGGGCTGGGACGCGGGCGGGCCGGGTGGGCCGCCGCAGGGGCCGCGCCGCCCGCCCCCCGGCCGGTGCCCGCGC